GTGTGTATGAATCGTAGATACGTATCGTATGTACGTGTCGTATGTATGAATCATACCCACGGTCTGATATCCTACGGACAACAGTTTTTATGTCCTCTGAGTTCAGTGTGGGCCTTTGTTGGCCTATCAGTGTGCATAGAACTTGGTCGCGTCTCCACAAAACCTCCTTGAAGGGAGGCGCCGCCCCTTGGAGCAGCTAGAAGCATTCTTTCTAACGAAAGCTTTGGTTCTGGCCATATAGTGCCTCTTCTAGTTCTCGAGGTTAAATATAATATTAAGATTTTTTAAATTTTTTTTTTAATTTTTATTTTATGTGTCCCACAACAAGGACCTTTACTCCTCTGCTGGAATAAGCTCAATGACTGCTGGGCAACTGAAATGCTTCTTTTTGCACTTAACAGATCTATAATAGAAGTATAATGTTCTTGTCTTGATCACGCTAAGTGTTAAAGCATTGGAAAAGAGGTACAACTATTCAAAGAGGCCCCATTTTAGCATATGATTTTCGTTTTACCAGTTGAAGGGGTTCCACCAGTCATTTAATGAAGCCAAGATTGAGAGCTTTATCATGATATTCTTATCACACTTATTGAGAGTGTTCTTATGGTGCAGTCATAGTGGGTCACTAAAGAACCCAATTATTGCTCAGGCACATACTCAGGCACATGCATTTTTCATGTGTTTTTTTGAATTTTGAGCTGGAGAGAGGATTAGAAGAGAAAACAAAGTGCTTTGCACATGGTGCAAATATGATCCCAATGTTATTTTCATGTGATAATTTCACTCTTGATTTCACTACACCTCCCTGACAGCACTCCTGCAACAACAAGCAATGTCATGTCAAGAAGCAATACCACACCAAGCAAGAAGACTGCAAGTGAGACTGCCAGCGACTCCTCTACTCCACCAAGAAGAAAGCTCAGCAATTACTTGACCAACAACCAAAGACTAGCAATTGCTCAGGATCTTTTGCAGCACAAGATTAGCAGTTGAAATGTTCTTGACTCTTCTGGCAAGAGGAGCTCCGTTACTAGAGAAGCTGCAGAGAGGACGTACAACATATCACAAATGACAATCTCAAGAGTGTGGGACCGCTACAAGAAAACAGTGGATCCATTAACTTTTCCTGCTGGGGATGTGTTATCTCAAAGGCCCAACTCTGGCAGGAAAGCAAGAACTCTATCTGATGTAGAGGCAGTTGTGAAGAATGTTCTGTTTAAAGACAGAGGTGATTTAAGAAGTCTCTTGGCGGCTGCAACAGGGGGGGATTCCAGCAACTTCTTCTTTGTTCTGTCTTGTAAAATGTGGCAAAATCAGAAAGCACAACAGAAGTGCCAAGCCTTTAATAAAACCTGAAAATAAACTCAAGAGAGTAGAGTGGTTACTGAGCCATATTGATGGGAACAGGAGACTTCGTGATTGGTAATTGGTATAAATGGATTCTTCTTGAGGAGAAATGGTTCTATTTGAAGAGGACCACCAACTAGTACCGCACGGTACGACTGACGATGACTTCGTAACTCAACGCATGATTAAGGAAAGAACAGTCACTATCAGATTTTCCGATTGAGTTTTGTTGAGGTCTATTATTCTATTCAACAAATTAAATTACTAAAATTACTATCGCTACTTCACAATTAATGTAATTGGCGCACCATGTTATCAATTTGATTTTTTTATTTAATGTTCTTGGGTTACATCATACTGTTCTTTTAAAATTAAACATAGTGTCATAGCACGCGGATCAATAAATACGGTGTTCAAGCGAAAAATATTTTTGTTTAAGTCTGAATGTGCTAATTAATTACCTTGACATGATGTCAGGAGAGGTTCGAAGTTTATATACGATACTCGACGGTACTGACAAGACTTGCACCGTGGAATTGTCATTATTTTTTGTTCTAGCGCACGAAGTCAAATTTTGTTGTCGCGTGTACTGATGCTCTCAAAAAAGTCAAAAAAATGGAGAAACAAGTCACATTTTAGACGACCACAAATTAGCAAGAGAAAACAACGAGAGGCCAGCGCGAAAAAACACGACAGATAGATAAAGCTATCCCATCAAACCCACGAGCGCATTCAACCATGAAAAGGTCCTCCGACCCCCAGCGACGTGTAAAATTTTCCTCAAGTATGCAACCATTACCATCAAATCTGTTTTTCTCTCCCAAAAACGGTTCATCGAATTCTGCTTCCTCACTTCGGAAATCCATAGTGGAGAATGACACTGCGCCAAGCTCAAGGATCGATGTTACACGAGAAATTATCGACAAGGTATTAGGTATCATTTGTGCCGACGAACGACCTGACGACAGCTAGTAGCCGTCTAGATGATATTTGGATGCCAAATTTCCCTACATTATGACAACCTTTAGAGCAACCGATAGTGACTGAGTTGAGTCTTTTGCTCTATTTAGAGGGAAATAAACAAGAAAAATCCCATCTGTTGCTACCACTATAAAATGATATCATGGTCAGTCTGATATCCGGACTCACCCTTGCACAACAACTTGCATGTTTAAATCTGAACAGCAACACGATCTAGTCTGGATTACATGCAAAAGTCTTCACACTATCTCCGCACTGTTCCTGACTTCGTTGCTGGTAGCCAATAGTAAAATGATGCGATTTTTCACCAGAAACGTATAAAATATTAAACAGAACCTCGTATCATCGCAACATACTATCAATGAAAGATCCTAAACTTATCAAAAAAATAGAAATCAATCAACTTTCATCCCATTCCTTTTGCTCTTACTGAGAAGATTATGCAATTGCGTCTTCTGATCAATAGTACGTTGTCGTATTACCGCACAGCATATGCGAAGTGGAACCTATACGAGACTTACTTTGCAACGTCAATGGTGTGTCGTTGAGATAAAGTATGATATCAGTTTTTTTCGGCCACTCTACTACTACTTCTGACAAGCACGTCAGTCATATATTTTGCTATGTAGTGCCGTGAATTGGACAAGATGATACCAACATGTCAAAGAACTAATTTACAATATGAAATGGTTGTAACTGAGATTTGCGGATTCTTCACCCTCATGATTTGCGTACAAGCTATGGATCATTGTGTTCATTTCTGCAAGGCCCCGCCAAGAACATCCAGATATAATTTTAGATCGTCGCTTCCTATTCCAAACGCGAACCGAATCGCATCGTACGCCACAAACGAAAGGCTGGCGATAGTAGTGTACCGCAGAATTCGAAGGGGAAGACCCACAAAGAACGGGCCGAGCACGCCCCCTCCGCCACGTGCTTGAATAGTAGCAATAGCTTCGAACACCGAGACGTCAGCTTCTTTCGACTTCTTGACTTCGCTGATGATGCAATCTGATGGATTGCTTACAATTGCAGCAGCCGTTCCTCCGAGCATACCCCCAGCCAAACTCACAAGCAAAGATAGTTGCAATTCTTCCCTTGCCGCAGGAAACGCCTCATAAAGGCGGGCCGTGGAGATATCGAATACAGTGAATTTGGTAATCGCATATGGGACGTACTTGAAGAGAAATATGGGAACAGTGTTCACGAGGGACGCCACACCTTCCTCCTCCAAGATCCGTTGAAGTGTCCCCGCAGCATTTGTTGCGAATTTGGGCTGTGCAACGGTTCGTATTCGTACGGTCTCGAAGGGGCAGTAAATGATTCCTGCGATAGCGGATGCAATCCCCGAAGCAAGCAAGATGATGGGAACCTCCAATCGAGCCGCATCTAATCCGGCCATAGCCGTGAATGTTCTTCGCAAGAATTCGATCGATGCGTACTGTGCACCCCCTGACAGGAAATTCCCCGATAGGGTTGGAGACCAACCAGTAAATAACGTTGATAGCCCCTCGTCCTGCATGACAGCTTGAATCGAACGCCCCATACTGGTATACTTGGATGGATTTGTCTGCTGTTTTGTTTTGAGAACATCCAGTGGAGTTAATGTCAAGCAAACTGCGGAAAGGCAAATAGCGCCAGATAATCCAAATCTTGCATATTCAGAAAGATCTAGGTCACGATCCCGTTCGATAGGAGATCGAGCTCTGGGTCCAAAAGTTGACCAAAGGGGGGAATAGTTGCTATTGTTGGTAGTGCCACTGCCATCATTCGGCAGGTACGGTGCGTACGTCTTTTGGAATGTTTTGTCAACAGCCACAACGTATCGTTTCAATCTGGAATCGTATTCCAAGCCAACGCCCCCTGGTAGCAACCGCATGTACTCACCGTTACTACCGGGGTTGCCTTTTTCGGTCCAGAAAGGCAGTGTTTGAAAGCCACCAAAATCATCATCGGCAATGGAGAGAGAAGAATAGCGGAAAGGGGGAATTTTCCTGTGAAAGTTTCGCTGGATTTCTTCGATCCTGTCCATGTCCTTCTTAGTCCGAAAATCCATGAAAGAATTCGACACTAGCTTTGGGCACGTAGTTCCCACCAAAATTCGTTGTTGTTGTTGCTGCTGCAACGACCTATTGATATTTTGGGAATTTGCAACAGCATACACATTGATTCGTTTATCCTTGGAGTAACCGGAACCTGGATCAGTTATTTCGATTTTCGTTATGGCATTATCCAAAACGACACGGAACGAAGGTTCTGTTGTCGTCGCTGCCGATTTGTTGGTGCCTCTTTTGACCAATTTGGCGTCCGTTGCAAACGGTTCGACCACCCTGAATTCGAAATCACCATTATCGATGTTAAAGTTATTTCCCGGTTCCAGAATAGCAACGGATTTTATTCTTCCATCCCTATCCAGGTTGGTGACGCCTTCTGCAATATCATCGCCAGCCAAATTGTTCACAATCACGATTGGTGGCTTAGAATACGTGACACTTCCTGAGTCCGTCACGTCGATGCGGAGCAATCGACCCGTCGGTTTCAAAACGGCATGACCCCTGGCAGCAACTCTGCTCTCGTTGTTGCGGTAGTCACCAAATTCGATCGCTGGGGGATCCGACGAGTCATATCCGGAAAGCAGCGACAAACGAGAAATCTTTCGCTGTGGTAATTGGTAGTTGTAGCTTATACTGCCTTCGGAATCAGCTTCTTTGTTAGAGAGCTCAACGGTAGCAATCGAAGCGTCCTCCAAAGAGACCAAAAGTTCTCCGAGGGCTTCTGTTGGCTGTCGTTTTTCGAGGAATCCAAACAACAAGGCGATGTGCCGCCTTGCCGCCTTTGCAGACCTCTCCCAATCTTTTTCGTTGTTGTCGTTCTCTCTATAAGCTTCTATTGTACCGTATCGTTGCACTAGTTCCTCGAGCAAGATCGTGGGTCCCTCCTTGCCATTGGCGTAGGACTGGGCAAGACCGACCTCGACGGAGGCAGCGAACTTCGAGAATTGTTCATACCGGAGTTGCTCGTAGGAAGAAGAATCAACGCCGTCCAAGGATTGCTTGTTCTTCCCCCTGGGAATCCGCCTCGAGGAAAACCACCAGAGCTGGCAGTTGGTGTCAAAATTTAGGAGGAACCGGGCGAGGTAGGTCACAAAAGCCACGCTGTATCCGGCCCGCTCGGCGTCTTCCACGGTCACCCCCGACCGCTTGTTGATTGGATCAATTTTCCACGGGAGATGTGGAATTGGTTCGTCCCCGTCGAGGTCGGATGGATCGAACCATTCCGTGGTAGTTGCCGCTCGAGCGGGAGTAGAGATACCCGGTATCGTCGTGGACACACCCGTGGCGACGGCAACCGCAAGAAATCGTCTCCGGCTGGAGGAAGTGGCAAAAGATTTGTCTCTAATTTTTGTTCTTTCATTCTCGTTTTCGCTTTGGTTTTGTTGGCTGGTGGTAGCTTCCAATCGATAATCGTAGACTGCAGTTTGTATCCTTCTGCTCGTTATTGGCGGTTGGAAAGGAAGGCATCCTATCGAGAGTTGCAAGGCAGCGGCTGCCAATACCATTATTGGCAACACCTGGATGTTCTGCCTCATCTTATCTGTCTATCTCTCTATTTATTCTATACGTTCTTTGTTCCTATTTTTGTTTCATTGGCACAAATGTCGAACCCTGTTCTACTCTATTCTGTCTAACGGTCAAATAAGAAGTGGCGATTAGTGCACCTAACGAAGGATGTCGTTGTGGTGTCTGTCGAATTATGGAAATCTGTCTTTTCGTGTGCTTTTTATTGCGTTGTTCCAGTTTTGAAATCTGGTACCGTTGTATCCTTTGTCACAGAAGCCAATTATATTACCTTATGTCTATCCTTCGTACGAGATAACTGTTATGGAACAATCTTGCCACCAATGTCGGTGCCAATATACTATGTGAGGATACAGACATAAAGCGTACGAAGGACATACTATGAGTCACTTTGATCGGTCTGGTAATTTCGAATGAGAATCATCATCATCAGTTTCTTGTTCGAACCTCCTACTCCGAGCGTGTGTTGTGAGCGCGCCAGCACATTCCCACATAGCTCGTTCTGTTCGTTCAATGTAACGTACCAGGTACCGTACGTACCTTATGAAGGATATGAATCGTTTCTCATGTGGTACTACCGTACGGTATGACTTATGACTTATGACTTGTGAGTGAGCTTGCTCGCTCGGCTAGCTAGTAGAAGTACTGTACTACTCTTACTCGTACGTACTCGTTCTCTTGATGGAATGGTAAATGGTACGGTAGTTGTAAACGTACGTACCGTATCTTGGTAAAGTACATTAGGTCGTACCGTAGGATGATTTCTGATTTCGAGACTTGTTCTTCTCGTTCTCATCAACTTACTCGCACTGTTCTACGTTCTGTGAAACCAGGTTCCAGTACAGTTGTACATACACACCGGTACATGGGCCACATCACGTTGTACTCGTACCGCGTCATCATCGTTGTCATGAACATTCCGTACCGATACGAAATTGTACCTCGCCATTTTTTGTTGAACGCCATCAAGCCAAGCAACAAACATTTTCCCTCTGCCACATGGTATTCCATATTGCCAAAAAAGGACGGGTACAATGAAAACACCGCGAAGCCTTCTTGCTGCTCTCTTTGCGACGGTGCATTTGCAACTGCCACCACCCTGTCACTCGTTCAGCGCGAAACTCACAACAAATCCAAAGGCCGCTCCAGGTACCAACAACGTCAACTTCGAGGACTGGATCACGGATGCTCCCGAGGAAGTCAGGGAATGGAAGGATCTGACCGTTAGAGGGGATATCCCGGACTATGTCCGCGGTACCTGGATCCGCAACGGCGGAGGAATATGGTCTGGCGGCGACAACGGCGACGGCGGTGAGTCCTTTTCCCACATTTTTGACGGCTTTGCCAAGGTATCGGCCTACCGGTTCGGAAACGGGAGGCTCCGCCACCAGGCGCGGTTTCTCGAGGGGAAGTGGTACAAGAAGTTCCAATCGGACGGAAGTCTGCCTCCAAGCATCGGGACCGGGCCGATCCTCGACGCCTCCGGAACCCCCAAGGTCGGCGCCGCGAGAACGGTCGGGGCGATCCTCAATGTTGCCACGGCCTTTGACAACGCCCCGGTAAACATCTGGGATTTCGATCCGCTCTCGAGGACAGCCGGTCCCAAAAGGGTGGAGGCGCTGACGGATGCCCCGCCCCGGGTGAACCTGGACTACGACACGATGGACACCCTTTCGAGCAGCACCATCAACCCACTGGCCAAGGGAATCCGGGGCTTCGAGCTCCTCATCACGGCCCACCCGCTGTACTCCCTCGAGAGCGACGACACCTACAACATAGCGGTGGAGATCGGCCTCGGCCTTCCCAACGCGAGGGTCAACCTGATCAAGGAAACACCGCTCGGGGACCGGAGCGTGGTCGGATCCTTCGCTACCGACGACGGGATCCCGTATTTTCACTCGTTTGGGTTGTCTCGAAACTACGCCGTCGTGGTGGTGCAACCCCTACGGATCGACCCGGGCAATCTTTCCGGGTTGCTGGAGAAGGGTTTTATGCGGTCCATGAAGAGCGTGGAGAAGACGAGGGTGGTGGTCCTTGATCTCAAGACGGGGGAGTGCGTCCTCGACCAGAGCGTCCCCGAACCACTCTATTTTTATCACGCCGTCAGCACGGCCGAGGTCGACCACGGGCGCTCGCTCTCGCTGCGCCTGTGCGCCTACAAGAGTTCCGACCAGCTCACGGGAGAGAACCAGTTCATGCGGCTCGAGCGGTGCCGCAGGGGCAAGGAATGGAGGAACAAGCTCGACAAGGGCGGCCGGTTCTGCGACGTCGTCTGCGACCTGGAGAAGGGTACTTTCTCGCTGCGGTGGGACGATCGCATCCGCCAGGGGTTCGAGCTCCCGGTCACGCGGTACTCGCGGGCCCACGGCGGAAGCGTGGAAGAAAGGAGGGAGGCGGCCGATGCCCCGATCGATGGCCACCCGCGCTACGTGTACTCCTTCGGGGCGTTCGCCCTCGGTGCGGAGGAGTACGACGCCTGGGGCCTCTTCAAGTTCGACACGGAACGCCGGGAGGTCGCGGCCTCGTACCGGTGCGATTCCGTGTACGTGTCCGAACCGGTGTTTGTCCCGGATCCGAGCGGTTCGGGGGAAGACGACGGCGTCCTGCTGACCCAGGCGTATTTTGGTGCCGAGCGAGAAACCAGGCTCCTGGTCCTCGACGCCCGGACCATGGAGGTGGTCGCCGAGGCCGGCACCGGCATGCGCACGCCGATGGATTTCCACGGGGGATGGATTCCGGAGGGCGGCGGCGGCCGCCCCTAGCTTCCACTGCTACCGATGCTGCCGCTATACCGCCATTGCTATTGCTACTGCCATTGCTATGCTTGGGTACCCGACACTCCTTTGCGCCTCATAAATTCCAATGTTGAGAGCGCAGATCGACGAAAGAGGAATGCAACCCACAACTTATAATGTATCGAGTAGAAGTAGATTTTAGATTTTAGAACTCAATTCAAGATTCGTATCTTGTTCGTACCGGTACGTACGGTGCCTACGTGCCGGTAACACGACCCTTGTCGGTCGGTAGGATGCGTGATGCGTGATGGATTCATGTTACCCTAATAGAAGTACCAAGTACCTGGTACAGGTACGTACTCGTACTCGTACTTCTAATTCGTTTGAAATTGAATGGCCTTTTCGAAGTTGTCTGTACAGGTATGATGTGCGTACCGGTAAATGGCGGTTTGTACGTTTGTACGGGGTGGAACGCCAGACGGACGAATCGAATGAATCATCTTCGGCTCCCTCGTCTCCATCACCGAAATCGCTCTTGACGTTCGAAACAAAAAAAAGTGCAGGAGGGAACTGTTCAGACTTCCAAGAGAGAGCACAGAACAGCACAGCATAGCGCAGCGCCGAACCGGTCGATCGCATTGCTTCCAAAAGAGAATGAAAGGAGACACAACGACTCCTGCTGCTTTTGCCATTTCCGTTCGCCGCTCGTCCTCCCCGTCCCGTTCCAGCTTTTTCCGAACAACACCGGTGCATTTCCTAGCCTTTCTCCTTCTGGTTTTTTCTGGATCTTCTGCGCCCTTTTCCGCCGCGATGAGTACTAGCAGCAGCGGCAACGACAGCGGCACCGCCCCCCCGGTCTCGGCATCCGATGCGGAGGCCGCCAGCCGAACCATCGACTTTCTGACCATGGCCCGGGGCCTCAAGACCACCCCCCGAACCGGGTGGGTCCGCCAGGGAGCCGGCCCCCGCATCGAATCGGTGGCCGACCACTCGTGGCGGATCTCCCTCATGGCCATGGTGGCGGCGGGAAGCCTCGGATCGACGTCGACGTCGACGCCGGAATTTTCCTGCGACGCGAACAAGTGCATCAAGATGGCCCTCGTCCACGACCTGGCGGAGGCCACGGTCGGGGACATCACCCCCCACTGCGGCGTCAGCGAGGACGACAAGCACGCCAGGGAACTCGCCGCCATGGAAACCATGGTGCAGGCGCTGGGGGGGAGCCTCCCGGGGTTAAGCGGGGAAAGCACGGGCGGCGAGATCCTCGCGCTGTGGAAGGAGTACGAGGAGGGAACCAGCCACGAGGCCCGTCTGGTCAAGGACATGGACAAGCTAGAGATGATCCTGCAGGCGCTCGAGTACGAAAACGACGGGGAGAACGAACACTCGCTGGACGGCTTCTTCGACAGCACCCGGGACAAGTGGAGGACGCCCATCGGGGCCGCCTGGGGAAAAGAAATCGAGAGCCGGCGGCGAGCGAAGGACTCGACCGAGGCATCCGCCGCCAAAGAAGGCAGCAACGAACCATAACAGACACGACGATGCGGCGGTGGCGGGCACCCGCCAAGCCAGCAAGCTACGAGTACTGCCGAGAAACAAAGAAATTCAAAAAAGTACAGCCGATGTGTGGAGGCATTGTAAGACAAATTAAAGTAGCACAACAAGGTTTACTGTTGCGAATCGATCAACCCGCCGCACAGCGCGTCCGTTCCGGACGGATAGAACTAGAACGACACACGCGTGTGCCGTTCCCCGCTTCGCGCGGCGTCCTGATTCTATAGCTGCAGCTGCAGCTGCAGCTGCAGCTACTGGTAGTGCCAGTGTTAGTGCCAGTGTTAGTGCTAGCGCCGCTCTTCCCCTTGTGCCTGCTGCTTCCGCTTTGCCTCCTTCTCCCTGGCCAGGGCCCTGTGCAGGACCCGCGCCACCTGGATGGCCGTCCCCCGCTTCGCCGGATCGGGCTCGAAGCACAGGTCCATGGCCCGGAAAAAGGCCCGGACGACACCGTTTTGGGCCAGCTTTCCGTCCCGGCCCCCGCTGGCAAAGGGCTCCCACATGTCCGGGCGGATGCCCTTCCGCACGACTTCCCGGACCTCCTCCATCCGGTATTTCTTCATCTTTCCGCGGGGCCCGTGCGTCGTTAAGATGTGGAAGAGGACCTCGCCCAGGGCGTAAATGTCCACCTTTTCGTCGACAAAGGATGTGTGGTTGGTGTTCATTTCCTCGGGGGCCCGCCACCACGGCTCGTGGAGGCGTGACCGGAAGCCACAGGGCTGGTTCGTGTCCGGATCGTACGTTAGGAACTCGGCGATGTTAAAGTCGTTGAGTTTGGGGCTTCCGTCCCGCATAATGGCAATGTTGCGAGGATTGAGCTGGCAGACGGAAAAAGGAATGAGAAGAGGGGAAAGGAGTGGAATGAATGAGACCTGGTGAATGAACGGATGGATGGATGGATCCGCAAACGCAAACGCAAACGCAAACGCAAGATGAAATCCAGCCCAGCCCAGCCCAGTCCATCGCAAGGGGACCACGATCCACCTCCGTGGTGCACAGCACGCGGCTGCACGGAAACGAACGAGTCCTGCGAAAGGATTTCCTCACTCACATCGTAGTGTGCCATGGTCGGAACCGACCGACCAAAGCCCGTGGTGCTGTGGGCCGAGTCCGGGTCCGTGTGCTCGTACAGGAGCGTCTGGACCGATCCCGACCGCCCCCCGCTGGCGTCGGAAACGTGCACGTTGTGAACGTGGGCCAGACCCAGCGCGACCCCCGTCGCCAGCTGGAGCTTGAGGAAAAGGGCCTGCGGGTCTTCCTCCTTGCCCCGGAGGCGCCGGTCCAGCTGTTCGAGGTTGGTGATCTTCCCGCCCAGTATGCCCTCCGCCAGCTCGTTGATGGCCGACTGGCCGCAGTATCCATGGACGTTGACAACGTAGGGACTAAAGGTCAGCCGCTCCATGGCGACCGCGTCCCGGCGGTGCAGGTCAAAATATTCGTCTAGGAATTCCCGCTCAATCCGGAGGGTCTTGAGGACGACGGCGCTCGGTGGGGGTGGAGGCTTCCACCGCGATTCGTCGCTCCCTTCCGGTTCCTCATCGCTTTCCTCCTCGTAATCGTAATCGTAGTTCCGGTATTTCCACGTTGCGCGAAACCAACCCTGCCCCAAGAATTTCAGGTCGGCTTCCGTCTCGTCTTCGCCGTTGGCCGTCGACACGGAGGTTCGCATGTCGATCTCGTGGACGGAATTGCAGTTCGGAAAAGAAGCCTCCATCCAATCGGCCATGGGCAGGCATTTTTTCCCGTCCCTGGTGGTCGCGGAAGAGGATTGAGGGCCTTCTTCCGAGGTGGAGTTTCGTGCGGCCGTCATGTCCTTTGCCGAAGCGGATCCGTCGTCGATATGGTTGTCTTCTGTTGTCGCATTGGAGATCCCTGGAAGCTCGAAGAAAACTTCTCTGGCTTTCTCGTCGGCGGTGTCTGCTACAAAGGGTTGTGGGAGGTGCAGCGGCAGAGTCGAAGGAACGCGAACCAGGGGGCTCCCATGGGAGTCGCCCCGTTTTAACTCCGGCCTCCACACCATGGTCCGTGGCCGGTCCGAAACCCTTCGGCCGGTAGCAAGGTACAAATCCGGCGACATCGGGTGCTCATCGCTGCTGGTAGTTCCGTGGGCCTCGTTTCCAACAACGGCGAGCGTGGAGTACACCGTGATGCAGCACGAGACCGCTACGAGAACCACGATTCCCCGGTAGAGCTGCCGGCGTGTTCCCGGGAGTTGGGACGTTTTGTGGTGCCTCGATTTGCTCTTGGCGTCGAAGCCTCCGCTGCTGTTCGTGGTTCTGCTTGTTCGCGGGGAAGCTACTCCTCTGTAACCATTCGATGATGCCGGTGTTGCTGTTGTTGCTGCTGCGTTCGCTCGCTTCGATAAACTCCCACGGTGTTGGCCGTTGCTGCTTTCGCTAGGTCCTCCGCTGGTCGCAGAGAGATGAAGCGGCAGCGTTGTTGTCGACCCAACACCATCCACCCCATCGGATGTGATGCTTGTTGTCTCCATCCTGTACTGAGTTTGCGACGCGATGTCGTCGTTCCACCTGTCTGTTGTGCGGCCTCCGCACTTCCCTAACTATTTGCTCCGCAAATCGTGGATATTATTAAGAGAGAGAGTTCGTCTGGTTACCGGTGCTTTTCCGTTTTTCTTTCGTTTCTCGTGGGCTGGGCCGGGATGTGAGCAACAAAAGTTTTGGGTCCAAAAATGGTAAAATACTGGCAATCTAACGCATGTAAACGAATCAACGATAAAAATGATTTTATGGCACGCTATGTTATATAACTGTGGCGTCGCACGGTCCGCGCGTGTACCGAAAATGTAACCAGAAATGTACCTTGTTGAGCTCCGTGTAATTAGCAGGGAAAAAGTTTTGTACTGTGCGCTCGAGAGCTTTAGCTCGAGAGCGCACAGTACAAAACTTTTTCCCTGCTAATTACACGGAGCTCAACAAGGTACATTTCTGGTTACATTTTCGGTACACCAGTAACGTCACTGAGGCCGAGAGCTTTAGCTCGAGACCGAAGTGACGTTACTGCAAGTACTGTCTTCAGCAACAAGAACAGCAGCAGCAACAACAAGAAGCTCGAGAGCTTAAAGCTCGAGAGCTTCTTGTTGTTGCTGCTGCTGTTCTTGTTGCTGAAGACAGTACTTGCAGCGCTTGGACCGATGCGATGCCACAGTTATTAACGTAACCGATTGAGTAGCATCGAAATTACATGTAACCACGCAGCGCGAGGTTACTGCATTGGGCTCTTTCTTTCTTGATGCTGCAAAGAATGAACTACAAGCACTGCCTCTGGAGGCTGCAAATGAACTACAAGCACTGCCT